CATCCAAAGTCAGGTTCTCCCCAAGGTGAGGGAGTCGGACCAGGTGGAGGGAGCTGGACTGCAAACTGTAGGCACCTGGCAGCTGAGATGCCCGCAGGGGTTTCCTGGGGTCTCTGGGGTCCTGGGGGTGTGTGGCAGGGCCACCGGTGATGACTCCGCACCTGCTAAGCTGCACTGCCCTGTCTGAGACCTGCAGGGGAGTAGCCCTGCTGCCCTCACTTTGAAGACGAGGAAACTGAGTCATGGGACTCTCCCAAGGTCAGTTCTCTGTCACTGCAGACAAGGACGGCGGCATAACAGACCAGAGGGGCCCTCTCACCCTGTCCCAGCGGCGTCTGCAGCCCCCTGCCCCTGCCACCCCATCTGCACCCTCTCCTTGCACCCTCAGCAGCCTCACACGTTCACCCCCAGCACTGCCCGGCCCCTAATCGGAGGACGCACCCTTACGTCCAGCCTGGTCATGGCCCTGAGCCTCAGACTGGAACCCACATCGAGGGACAACAGAGCTGTCCACTCCCGCATACCCGCTCCCTCCCCCTTAGAGAGTGGCAGGGCCCACACCCAGACCCTCAGCAGCCTGTGCCTCCACCTGTCAGGGCCAGATGCCTGCACACTGGCAGGTGGGCCCCCAGAGGCCCAGGGGTAAACTGAGTTGTCTCAGGGTGAGTGGGCACCAGGCTTGGAGCCAGGAGGGTCCGGATGACCCCTGTGGGCCGTGAAGGGTCAGAGATGGCGGGGGGGGGGGGGGAACTGAGGCAGAAGGACTTGCCCTGGAAGGGCTGCCTGCCCCACCCGGCCCCTCTCTACCCCTGGCCTGGACCAAGCTGCAGGAGTCCAAACCCAAATTCTCCCTCCTGACTCCCCACCTCACAGACCGGGGTTCCTGGTCCTCCCTTCACCTCCCCCCACCCTCCTGCCAGGGCTCCCTTCCTGAGGGTGGGGGTCCATAGTTCACGGGCCCCAGGCAGCCAGTGATTGGTGATCGTGTTAGGGGCAGGCCAGGATGCCCAAACCTGATCCTCCCCCACCTGTTCAACTGGCTTCCCACCAGGTTTCTTGCCTGACTTGTTCTGGGGGGAAGTAGGGAGGGAGGGCAGGCGGGAGGAGGAAGGGGAGGAGAGGAGGGGAGGGGGTGGGGAAGGGGAACACCCTCGGAAGGCCCTTCCCTGCTCACTGGTTAGTCCGGGGCGGGAGCGAGGGGCTGTGCCTTCTCCCCACCTGCAGGCAGGGCCCATTGTCCCAGCCGGGCCCATTGTGTCGGGAAGAAGCCTCATTGGCAGGGCATCAGTTTGTGATTGTCCGCTCTCTGCTCTGATTGGCCGGGTGAGAAGGGGGCTCCCCCGGGGCCCTGGGACCCAGAAGTTTGTGCCGCAACTTTTTCCAGCACGAAGTGACTGTGCGCCCAGGCTTTGGCGTGGAGGCGGCCTGCCCAGCCAGGATGACGCTCTGCGGGACCTTCCTGGGTACGTAGCCCCCCCAGCCCACGGCCCCCTCCCTGGGCCTGCTCACGTGCTTCTGCCAAGACACCAAAGGGGCGAATGAGCTGTGTGTCCCCATCAGCGCTGAGTGCTTCTTTCTGGGCAGCGGAGGAGGTGACAGACAGGGCCCCTTCTGGAGAGAGGCCAGACCCGAGGAAGTGTGCCGCTCACCGCCCCCTCTGGCTGGCCAGGAGCTCGCAGACCTGTCAAGGCCGGTCTCCCTCGGAAGGTTGGCGGTCGGGGGGCAGCAGGGAGGGTGCGGTGCCAGGGGGCGCCCGCTCGCTGGGGTGGAGGGCAGGTGTGGGCCACGGAGGGGACTGCCCAGAGGAGCGGAAGGGCTGGGGCCCGGCCTGCTGCTTGTGTTCCCCGCACGTGCGCCTTCAGTGCAGCGTCAGAGTCAGAGCAGGGGCCGGTGTGCGAGCCCCGCTGCTGCTCCGGGACGTGCCTGTCTGTGTGCGTACGTGTGTTCATGCAGCCTCGGGGGGTCGGCATGTTTGATGTTTCGGCACGAAGCAGCCTCACCACGCGGCCCGGAGACTGCGCGTGGGCGCGAGGCAGGCAGGCAGAGTCAGCCCCGGGTGCCGGCAGCTCCGGGTTTTGTCTGCTCCATCTGCCAGCGCCCGCGGGGGCCGCGCCCCCTCCCCCTGCGCCCTCAGCTGTTCGTATACAATATTAATGCTGACCACTTCGGCTCCACACACCACGGCCCTAATTGTCGTCTGCGGCTTTAAGGCAGGCGTCCATCTGCAGGGAAGCTTTCAGGGGAAAAACAACAACAACAAAAACCCCAAGAAAATCCTCGCCCCCAGCTGGCCACCAGAGAAGGGGGTGCCAGTTGCAGATGCAGAAAGTTCAGACCAAAATGGCTTGGAAGAGTTTGTCTGAAGCAAATGAACAGGCATTTGGGACGTCTGTGTGCACATTTGCGCAGGAATGACTCTGTATTTGAATTATCTTTCCAGCGAGGCAATCACCTGGCCTGTTTCCCCAGCAACGGGCCTCGGTCCCAAGTTCGGTTCTGCACCTCTCCCTCCTTCCCCTGGGGTGGAGTCCGGGGACCCTCTCGCCCAGCAAAGGCTGCTTCCCTGTGGATGTTTCCCTGTGGAAGTCTGCTTCCCAGACTTTGCCGTCACACGTGACTTCCTCCTTGTCAAACTTAACAGAACAATTCTGCTCAGTGCTCAGTTACGGAAAAGAAAATGTCTTAGGTTTAAAATGGCCTGAGTGTTTGTCACGTGGGCGAGAAAGTTTGCGGTTGTACCTGGCTGTTGTCACCTCCAAGCAGGGCCGGCCACTGGCAGAGCGGAGACACTCAGAAGGGAGACCGCCGGGAACAAAGGCCCCGGGCGGCAGCGCTGTCCAAAGTGCTGATCGGACCGCGGGCGCGGCGGCCTCCCCTCCCCTCCCGTCAGGCTTCCCTCGGCCGCCAGACCTGAGAAACTTGCCCGCAAAGCCCCTTCCCTGCTCCGTCCCTGTAGCTCACCCTTTGTCCTTGTGCAAGTCAGCTGAGGGTTTTGAACCCTGCTCTCATCAAAGCCCATCTCCTGAAACAGCTCGCAGGCTCCCTGCTCGGCTCCCGCAGGCCGGCTCCTGCTGGAGAGCCCTCGGTTCAGGGCGGACAGCTCAGGGCGGACCCGAGAGATACTGAAACGTGGGTTTGCACAGACATAATTTTGTTACCTGGAAAGTGGTCCTGCCGCCCCAGGTCTCCTGTGGTACAAATTGGTCTCTCCCTGTTGGTGCCCGCGTTTGCTGTTCTTTCCCATTTAACTGCTGTGTATCTGAATTAAGTGCTTCCCCGAGACAGTGGGCTTTGTTGGGGAATCGGCTGATTCAGCACCGGCCCTCCCTCGGAGTCTATCTCCGCTGGAACAATGGCGTGCGGGCCGCCTGAGCCTGCAGCCTGCTGATAAGCTTTAACAGAGTCCCCGAACGTTTGGGTGTAACCTCTCCCAGCGCTCCCGGCGAGTCCCGAGGAGACAGAAAACGGCTTTTCAGGAGAGCTCTCAGTGGTGTCCTTCTGTGCTAATGGACGTGAGTGTCCGAGGGAATGAGAGCAGCTGCAGGCGGTCACTGGAGGCGCCTCTCGTTTGGCTAATCAATATTTCATCCTCAGTTTGGCCACTGAAGGCTGGCCTGTGTTTCCTTTTGCTCAATCTGAAACGTTGCCTCCCATGTGCCCAGTCGCCTGGGGCTCTCGTGTGTGGGGAACACGGTGTGTCCGTGTGGAGCCGAACATGCCTCCTTTCGGGGTGACGCTGTCGGCGGCCTGCAGGCAGAACTCTGCTCGATGAACGCGGGTGCTAGGGGAGCTGTCGCCGGTCTTCCCGGCGTGTTCGCTCGGCACTCCACGCGCTTGTTCCGTCTCCTCCACGCTGCCCGTGGCTGGAGCCCTTCAGTGCTAGTTCAGCGGGGCTGCTGTGCTCCTGAGCGGAAGTGGTATTGGCTGCCCGGAAGTCTCTGCCCTGGACCCCTGAGCCGGGGACCCCCGTCCCTCAGGCGGGCCAGGTGTCCGAAGGTGTCTGACAGCCCGATTATGGTGATGGCCGGCTCTGTGCCCAAGTCGTCAGGAAGGAAAGGGAACTTGAGTAGTAAGTGAGAGTGTCTTGGCTCCTGGGTACTCTGAGGAAATTCCTGCATTTACTCCTGAATGTGGAAAAAAATCACAGAGTGACAGATGAGAAAACAGACAACTGGTTTGCCTAAGGGGGTGGGGGGTGGGCACTTCCATTGTGCGTGTTGTGGACTTTGCTCCCCTCGGCTTTCCCTGGGTAGCTCCTGCCGGCAGTTTAAGACTCGAAAAGGCAGAGCAGGGAACTTGAGGGGTGCATTCCCTCCTTAGGGCTTCAGGAGGTACCCACGCTCTCTTTGGGAGAGTTTTAGTATTTTAAAAGTTAAAACAGAGAGGGAAGGCACGATAAAAGAAGCACATTGTTTCCTGGGTGGACCCTTTGTGTGTCTGAGTGTATCTTGCAGGCTGTGGCTGTGGACGCCACTTTGCACCTGGACACACAGACCCCCACGGGGGTCACGGGGCTGAGTCTGCAGGGGGGCTGCAGGCTGCCCCCACTCCCTCCGAGGGACACGCGCTGCCCTGCACTCCACCACCAATAAATATTGTGGAGCACTTTGCCTGCAGCCGCGCTAACCGGGGCATCTGTCATTCCGGTTGCTGCTATTAGGAATTATTGGACTGAACCACTGGCGGAGAAAGCACAGGGGGGTGAGCGTGGCAGTGGCGGGGCTGCCTGCCCTTCTGTGTGTTTTGCATAAAAACAGACCCTGCCGTGCTGCATGTTAATGATACATCAGCGTGGGCAGAGGCAGGCACTGCGCTCCGGCCGCGGCTCGGGGCCACCGCGGAGGGCTCCGCGGGCCGCGCCCCTCTCAGCTGCCAGGTCAGCAGCCCCATCTCGCTGATGCTATACTGTAAATTTATTTCACCTCGGAGAGTAAACAGATATATCGGCGCCCCAAGGGTTCATGGGTAGCGTATTTACAAAGGAGCCTCTCTGCCAGCCCGTGCCACCGCTGCTAATGAGAGCGGTCATTAAGTAAATGAGACGTCGCCTCTCGCTGGCTCGGGGGCTCACGCGCGGAGGGGAGAGGATATTGCGCTGAGGCCCGGGCGCAGGCTGCCCCCATGTGACGCGGGGGAGGCAGCCGCCCGCCCCGCCCCCGGCCACCCGGCACCCCCCATGTAAATTTCATGATTGCTTTCCGTGATGTCATTTTGAGCGAGGACAGACAATAGCTGTGGGGAAAGGTAAGTCTGTGCTTCGTTCTTTCGCTGACAAAGGCAGATGCCTGGTGCCTGGCTCCTCTCTGAGGGGGACAGGGCACCGCTGGTGGCTGCGACGGAGGCTTTCTTTGCAGGAAGAGCAGGTCTGGGGACAGCTCCTTAGAGCTGCTCCGTTGGACACAGGCTTCCTCCTCCTCTGGGTCCGCCTGCCGCTGCCTCCTCCTTGCTCGAGGTCGCCCCTGGGCTGGCTCGGGCTGGCTCGCACGCTCGGCCTCTTGGAGTCCGGTGGACAGTTGTGCTTCTGCTAGAAAAGACACTGGGGGGACCTTGTACGCAGATGAGAAACTTTGTGTGGGTTTCCGGAGGAGGAGCAGGAGACACCTGCAGCCGGGGACCCGCGGCTGTGGCCCCGTAACCTGCAGACTCTGCTGGAGCGGGGACGGAGGCTCGGCACCTCCTGCGGGCCCCCGCCCGTGACGAGGAGTGGAGATGGCCATGTGAGCGCCCGGTCTGCGCCGCCCCGTATCTCTGAAGTTGGGGGGTGGGGAGCAGGTGCGTGTGTCTGCCGGCAGGCTGAGGGGTCTTCCCTCCCGTGGCCCTTCTCGCATTGTGAGGGGCCCCCCGAGCTGTTGTTTATGTGTCTGTGTAACTGCATCTGCGGATTTAAAACTAAAAATCAGGGCTGGCCACGCAGCCAGCGTGAGCTCTGAGCAATGTCGTGCCCTTGCCTGCGGTGTGACATGTCTGGGCCGGGGACTCGGTCCACTGGGTGCACTTCCTTCTTTGTGACCTGGGGACACAGCTGAGCCAGGGACTGCTGGGCGCGGGGTCCTCCTTCTGCCACCAGGGTCTCTGTGTCCCTGTCATCGGCGGACACCCCAGGCCGGTTGAGTTTGTTTAATTCCTGAAACAAACACCTGCGAGGGGGCTCTGGGAGCAGAATTCAAGCTGGGGCTCAGGCCATCAGACTGTCCCTGGAATGGTGGAAATGACATCAATTACCGTCATTACCCTTTTGGCAGAGGGAGGGGGTTTTGCCTCCTGGTTTCAAAAGAGTCAGAGAGACCAGGCAAGCCAAGGTCCCTGAGGCCGGTGGTCGAGGGAACAAAAGGCGGGCGGGTGCTGGGCAGGCCTGGAGGGGAGCCCCCAGCAGGGTGTGACAGGGTGCGCTGGCCCTGACCCCGCGGTGGGGGTCCTCGCCACCAGGGCCCCCCCACTGTTGGTCCTTGCTGTGGTTATCACTCCTTCCATATGCTCTGTCAATTAAGGGTAAACAAAAGAGGGGCTTGGAGTCTGAGGTGCTGGTGGCGAGTGTCACCCACGGGGCAGGACACAGCCCAGCTTCCCTGGCCAGTCACTGGGAGGAGAAGGTCGGTCAGGGCTTGTTGGTAAAGAGGAGGCATGTGCATGACCCTGGTGCCTCCGGAGCTGGGGACAGAGTCAGTGCAGCAGCCTGACCCCTGGGCGGCCCCAGGCTCCCCGGGGCCACAGATAGTTGGATGTGGAAGACTGTCCACCCTGGAGCCCCCTGGACTCCAACTCCCTGAGTCTGCGGGGCCCAGAGGTGGGCCTGGGAGCTCATGCAGGCCAGGGGGCCACTCCCGACCTGGGGGCCTGTGGGACCCTCACTGTTGCTCAGGCCAAAATGCAGCCCCCAGTCCTTGGAGCCAGTACACCTGCTCAGAAGATTCTGGCAAAGGGACACGCTCCCCGATGGCTCCTGGTGCCAGACAGTAGAGCCCCTGGGCAGAGGTGACCCCACGCAGCAGGCAGAGCCCTTGGGGCCGAGAGGGTGCTCTGTCCCCGGCATCGTCACAGCGGCCGTCTGGGAAAGCCCTGTCGGGACTCTGAGGCGGCGGGGAGCAGTGGGCGAGCCAGTGCCCTCAGCACCCTCAGCCCTGACCCCCAGCGGCTCTGCTTCTGCCGGGAGCCTGGACGGGCAGCTTGGGGCGCTCTCCCTGGTGCTGCCCAGAGCCTGGGCCCCTCCTTTCTCCTCCAGCTCTACTCTGGCCGGGAGTCACCTAATGCACCCATGAGGACGTGATGACTCTGTGTGAGCGTGGGGTGGGGGTGCTGGCTGGGGTCTGCAGGGTACAGGCAGCCCAGAGCTGGGCTGACCTCTGCCCAGGTGGCCTTACGCCGGGCACTGGGCACAGCAGCAGGGCAGAATGCAGAGGGGTCCCCGGAAGGTGGGCATGTTGGGGGCCTGTGGTCCTCCCGGACAGAGGGCCTTGTGCTATGGATCCCGCCTCCGTGAACACCTCTGTCAGCAGGGGCGGCCGGCTGGAGGGGCAGGAGTGACAGCCGCCGGTCACCTGATCCTCGGGCCGGCAGGGCACTGGGCAGCCAGTCACCCCCCCTCCAACCCCTGCTTGCTGGGAAGGGCGCTGCGTCTGCCCCGCCCCGGAGGCCGGCCCAGGTCCTGTCGTGGGCTCTCTCCGGCCTCCTTCCTCCCCCCAGCTTCCGGGCCCCCCCAACCCTGCTTGTGTGCTTTCTTTGTGAACTCGTTCATGAATAAACCAGGAGTTGAGCGTCCTCACACGTAATTTCAACGGGAATTTTGTGCTGACAGTTTACAGGAAAACGGTCTTGGGAGCCGATGTCGTCAGGAGATTAGTCAGCCTGGACAACGCCGCTTCCCGGAAGGGGTGTGGGCAGCTGCCCGGGGCCCCTCCAGCCCCGTCCTCTCTCGGGCCCCTCCCTGGCTGCCCAGCCCAGGGCGCTGCGGGGCCTGGGGTGGATGTCCAGGCTCTCACAGTGCTTTCTGTCTTTCGTGGATACTGAATTTCTCCAAATGTTGCTTTAAAAACTCGAACAAGCTGAGAGAGAGAGAGAGACGTTTTCACACGACTCAAGTTGCTCTTGGACTCTGGAGCATGCGTCAGAGGGACCAGCTGCGTGATGCGTGTGAGGGGAAGCACGGCGTGCCGTGGCTCCCTTGTCACCGTCAGCACTGCCGGAGTGAACCAGGGCCTGCCCTCGCCCTTCCCGCCCTCGCTGGCTCGGTGCACAGGGAACAGGGCTCATTTGCAGTGCCAAGGGGCGCTCTGCCCATTGCTTCATCCCAGTTCCATTTCTGAGTTTGCCCTCACAAGTGCAGTGCTATTCGGGGGGTGACAGCATCTCGGAGGCCGGTTGTGAGCTCTGCCAGGGTTAGGGCAGAGGTTGGCGGGGGTGGGGCGGGGTGTGGACCGGCACCAGGTGGGCACTGCCACCTCATGCTGCCGTCCCACCGTCCTGGGCTCTGTGCCTGCAGCCCCGCCTTCAGCTGCATCCCAGCAGCTGCAGCCCCCGGGGTAACTGGGAGTCCGTGGTCGTGTGTGCTGTGCTGTGGGGCTGATCTGGACCGTGGCTGGAACAGGGCCACTGTGGAGGCCTTTGAAGGACGGCGCTCCGTGCCGCCTGGGTGGCGGGTGAGGTGCGAATGGGCACACTGTGAGCTGGATGTTAGGGCTGTGGGCTCGCCATCTGGCCTCTCTGCTGACGGCCCACCCGCCCTCACGCCTGGCTTCACACCTTGCTTGTGTAGGAGGTTGGGCTGAGGGCTCTGGCAGAAGCCACCTGGGCCCCCTCCTGTTGTCCTGTCTTGTTGCCTGAAAGCCACACTTGGAGGCTCGGCCAAAGGACAGGTTCCCGGAGCCGCAGGCCGGGCAGCTCTCCCACCTGCAGGTCCCTCACTGGATCCAGGGCCGCGCCCCCATGTGCCTTGTGTGGGGGCAGGGCCTGCAGACTCCCTTGCGCCCAGGTGCCTGCTGACGAGGTCCAGGAGTGTCCCCGGGCTCCGAGACCTCCGAGCTGTGGCAGGGAGGTGGCAGGTGTGGGGTCCTTCCTGGGGCTCGTGAGCCAGGCCCACAGCTCTGAGGGTCCCTGACGTGACCTGGCTTCCCTGGGCGTATGGCTGAGCCAGCTGGTGGCGACTTCCAGCGTCCACACTCACCATGTTCATGGAATTCTGAGTTACCGGCTTCGGGTCCCTGCGGAAGGGCTGCCGGTCCTCCTTGAGGCATCGTGGAGGCCACACGCCACTGGTGGCGTCGGTGCTGAGCCAGGGCCTGGCCAGTCCTGGGGTCCCGGACATCACCCACACAGTCCAGGGCCTTGGCCTCGGGGGCTCAAACCTGCCTCTCCATCACCAGACCTGACGGAACAGCAAGTGGGCGCATGAAATTGTGCCAGTTCTCACGCCTTCCCCATGGCCCCCATGTGCTTGGCAAAGACAGGGCCTTGAACTTCAAAGGGCTTGCTGCATTGTTTCACGGAGGATGGGCCATTGCCTGCAAAACCTGAGACTTTGTCCACCTCTGTGCCTTGGGTTGCGCTTCCCGTGCCCTGTGGGTAGAGACCCTGTCTCCCCCATCACCCCATCTTCCCCACAGGCCCCGAGGCTGGCAGGCCAGGCAGCTCCCCAGGCACAAGGTGCAGCTGGACCGGAAATGGCTCCCTCAGGGCCACCCAGCCCCCGAGGCCCACGGTGTCGCCCCAGGTTCTGGATGGAAGCCAACAGCAGTCAGCCCTGCATGGCCCTCCCAGGAGGTGCCCTTGGTCTGTGTCCGGCTGGCCTCCAGCCTTGTCCCCTGTCCCCAAGTTGAGGTCCCTAACCTGCATCCCTAGCGGAGCTTCACCTCCTGCAGCTGGATTTTCTCTTTAAGGTCTTGTGCAGGTGCCACCCAGGGCCTCTCTGGCTTCACTCTCGCTCTGTCACGTGAACCACCTGTCTCAGCAGCTCTGTGAAGACGCTGTGTCCTCCTGGCAGGTGTTCCTGCTCCCTCTGCGGGGCACCTGCCGGCCCAGGTCCAGCCCACCTGGCAGGGGCCAGGAGGCAGGTGCTGCCCCAGGTTCCCTGGGCTGCCCACTTGCTCCTCAACGCTGGTTTTGAGGTTGGAAGGAAATTGAAGTGAGAGCAAAAGCTCCTTAAATGCTCCACGGAGGAGATTCTGGTCTGAATTTTCCGTCTGTCCCGGGCTCCGTCTGCCGCGGGCTCTGCCGCAGGTGAACGGCGACCACATCCCTGTGGCTGAGTGATC